GAGTTGTGCTCCAACTTTAAGTCAGAAAAAGCAACAACAAACATATTTATTATTAGAATCCCATGGTCTCATTTTGAGTTTTTATTTTGATCTCAAACTTTTAACCAGCTAAGTCATGTTAACACAATTATTGGGTTAAAAAATGTAACCGGAAATGCTGGATTAAACTAATAACCCAGCTTAATTAAAARGGTTGGTTCGGCCCAAAAAGGACAGGCGGGTTTTTTTTAACCCAACAGTTTTAAACCACTATTTACAAAAATATAGACTTCCTGGCAAACTGTTTTATTTTCTAGTGTTGCGAGACAAAGTGGCTTTATTTTGAAAGGTCCAACCGGATGCGCGCTTGTTTCGTTAACAGATTGACGCAGATAGTTAGTGTTCGCCTCTCGGGCTGAGCGGATCAGAACAAGTGATGGATGCGCGCAGACTGCTGCTGGACCGGRGACATCCTCCAGTTTATTTCTGCTTTTAGAAAGAAGGAAAATACAAAATAAAAATAATGAAATAGGTTTATTTATGCATGTTGGAAGCAGGAAGTCAACCAAAGTTACACGTTTTTTTTTTTTAGTTTACTCTTTTTAGTTTATTTTTTATTGTTTGGGGGATCGTTGAGGYTTTGCAGCAGGTCAAAGGAGTGAGAACATTTTTTCACAAAATGCCTTAAAACTGGAATCCAKCTTTCCCCCGGAGTTCTTATGGAATATAGTCCGATTCTGCACAGTTTCCATGTTGTGCCYTCATCCTACGTGAAGAACAAACTCTTCATGCTCTGCGTCATGCTGTCCCTGTGGGTCTACATGATGTACTGCTGCGTTGGCTACTGCTCCACGGTACCGAACCTGACGTACGGTTCGGCCCGGAGCCACGAGCCCTCCGACGCAGGAGGGGCCGACAGCCAGGGCTCGTCTCTGGGAGCTCCCAGGGACCTGCTGAATAATGAGAGTGATTTGGACAGCAGAGGCGACGACTGGGAGGAAGTCCGAGGCGAGGCGAYGGCGCTGGATGAGACTGATAATAATAATAATAATGTCATCACGTCAGGCCTCCTCAATGAGACGGAAAGTAAAAAGTTGCCGCGGGCGATCATCATCGGGGTGAAGAAGGGAGGGACCCGCGCGCTGCTGGAGTTCCTGCGCCTGCATCCGGACATCAGGGCGGTGGGAGCCGAGCCGCACTTCTTCGACCGCAACTACCACAAGGGACTGGACTGGTACAGGTAGGATTTATAGGAGAAGAAAAAAGTGAAGGCATATATCATCATCATCATCATCATCATCATCATCATCATCATCATCATCATCATCATC